GTGGTGAATAAATACCCTCAAAATAAAGTTTTATCTGTCTAAAAAAAAAATATGGGTACATTGTTGCATGACCACGCAATTGTAATTCAAAGTGTGACAGCGCTGAAAGCTGAAAATTGGCCTGGACTGGAAGGGGGGTGAAAGTGTCCGGACTGGAAGGGGGGTGAAAGTGTCCGGACTGGAAGGGGGGGGGGGAAAGTGTCCATGGACTGGAAGGGGGGTGAAAGTGTCCGGACTGGAAGGGGGGTGAAAGTGTCCGGACTGGAAGGGGGGTGAAAGTGTCCGGACTGGAAGGGGGGTGAAAGTGTCCGGACTGGAAGGGGGGGGAAAGTGTCCGGACTGGAAGGGGGGGGAAAGTGTCCGGACTGGAAGGGGGGGGAAAGTGTCCGGACTGGAAGGGGGGGGAAAGTGTCCGGACTGGAAGGGGGGGGGAAAGTGTCCGGACTGGAAGGGGGGGGGAAAGTGTCCGGACTGGAAGGGGGGGGTGAAAGTGTCCGGACTGGAAGGGGGGGGGGAAGTGTCCGGACTGGAAGGGGGGGGGAAGTGTCCGGACTGGATCAGGGGGGGGGGAAAGTGTCCGGACTGGAAGGGAAAGGGGGGAAAGTGTCCGGACTGGAAGGGGGGGAAGCGAAGCGTCCGGACTGGAAGGGGGGGGGAAAGCGTCCGGACTGGAAGGGGGGGAAAGTGTCCGGACTGGAAGTGGTAAGGTTGGGGTTGGGTTTTAGGTAGTTAAATGTTAGTGTAATATTTAGGGTTAAATCCAGTCAGTAGAATCTATTATAAATGTAACATGTTAATTTCATTGTAAAAGTAATTTTCAGTCTTTTGAATGTTATTTTAATCCCGCAACTTTTATCAAAATGATATATTTGGTGAAGTCCTCATTCAAGCTTTCTGTTATAGGGGCGACAATGCATGGGCAAAGCGCAAATTCTGTTTTTAAATTTACTAATCCATTCTTCATGAAACCTTCATAGGCTCTAATAATCTGTCCTGAGAGCAAATTCAGAGGCTGCAACAAGGGACTTCCTGTATAGGAGACTGGTCATCCTTCATGCTGGCTGACTGGTCAGCTTGCTACCCACTTGCTGTTCTGTGCAGGCAGTGATGATGTTACTACATCAGCTGCAGTAAGAGATCCTGGCCTCTCTCCTGCCCATTGATTGGCATCTTCTTTACACAACTGGATCCTGAGTGATAATTGAGGAGTTCTCACTCCCTTATCACTGCCTACAGCCCAGCTAAATGCAGGCAGGAACACAAGTAGAGACCCTGCGCATCCTTCCTGCAGGACTTCCCATAATGGGCATCAAAAGCTGCAGCAAGTCTTCTAGAGACCACCTCATTTCCTAGTTGGAGGATGTCCAGCATCATTTTGCTCTTTCCTTCCCATTCTGACTATCCCTGTCCTTCCCCTGGGGGAGGGTGGAAGGGGGAGCCAGGGAAGGCCAAATATAACCAGAATACATTTCAGTTTTAAAGCCCAATTGAACCTTGAGGGGGGGAGGAGCGGGACAGAACACTTAAAGCGGAGCTCTACCCAAAAGGGGAAGTTCCACTTTAACTTGTTGCCGACTGCAGATAGCCGAATGACGGCTGCACTGTGGCCGGCCAGTTCTGAGTGGACGTCATATGACGTCCTCCCAGAACGCCCAGTCCTACGGACACAGCTGATCACGTGATGTGGTAAAAGGCCAATCACAGCGGCCTTTTACCACGTGATCAGCGGTGTCCAATGACACGCTGATCAGAGGGAATGCAAGTGCCGGTTCTCGGCTGCACTTTCCTCACGCTGTCAGATCGTGAGGAAAGTACTGCCGAGAACCAGCAGTTGTCAGAGCGAGGATCGGCACCGATCTTCAGGGCACTGATGATCAGTGCCCTGATGATCGGTGCCCAGCAGTGCCACCCGCAAGTTCCGCCCACCTGTGCCCAGCAGTGCGCCCACTAGCTCCACCCACCTGTGCCCAGCAGATCACCCACCTGTGCCCAGCAGTGCACCCACCTGTGCCACTCTGCAGTGTCACACACCTGTGCCCAGAAGTGCCACCTACCTGTGCCCAGCAGTGCCACCCACCTGTGCCCACCCACCTGTGCCCACCAGTGCCGCCCACCAGTGCCACCCATCTGTGCCCACCCACCAGTGCTGCCCACCAGTGCCACCCACCAGTGCAGCCCAGCAGTGCTGCCAGTCAGTGTCCAGCGGTTGTGCCAGTCAGTGCCGCCAGTCAGTGCCCAGCAGTGCTGCCAGTCAGTGCCGTCTATCAGTACCCATCATCAGTGTCACCTATCAGTGCCGCCTATCAGTGCTGCATATTAGTGCCGCCTATCCGTGACACCTCATTAGTGCTGCCTATCAGTGCCGCCTATCCGTGCCACCTCATTAGTACTGCCTATCAGTGCCCTTTAGTGCTGCCTATCAGTGCCCATCAGTGCCGCCTATCAGTGCCCATCAGTGCTGCCTCATCAACGCACATCAGTGAAGGAGAAAAATTACCTTTTTGAAAAATTTTATAATAGAAAACAAAGAAACTGTTTTTTTTTTTTTTTTTTTCAAATTTTTTTGCAATTTTTTTATTTATAGCGCAAAAAGTAAAGTGCCCAGTGGCGATTAAATACCACCAAAAGAAAGCTCTATTTGTGAGAAAAAAATGATCAAAATTTCATATGGGTACAATGTTGCATGACCGCGCAATTGTCAATCAAAGTGCGGCAGCGCTGAAAGCTGAAAATTGGCCTGGTAAATAAGGGGGTATAAGTGCCTGGTAGGCGAGGGGTTAAGGGGACTGTTTCCCCCCGCTCCCCATTAAGGTTTGGCACCTTTGGGGGGTGGGGTACCCGAATTTAACAGGTATCTGCTCCCACTACCAGTCTGATCACCTAGGCCAGGGGTAGGCAACCTGTGGCTCTCTAGCTGTTGTGGAACTACATTTCCCATGAGGCACTGCAAAGATTACAAAACTGACAGTTACAGCTATGACTTGCGGAGGCATGATGGAACTTGTAGTCCTGCGGCTCTCAGGTTGCCTACCCCTGGCCTAGGCGATAGGAAGTTGAAGGTGTCCTCCCTCCCTGTAGTCTTTTGGGACACGTGACAGGTCCCAGAAGACTACAGGACCATTCAGGAAGCGCAGCGCTACTCGCGCATGCGCAGTGGGTACCCGGCTGTGAAGCCGCAAACTGTCACACTAGGGTGCCCACACTGAAGATGCCGGCCTCCTGGAATACAGGACGGCCAGTGAAACGGGCTGCGGGGGGGGGACACACTGTGGGACCGAGGGACAGGTAAGTGACTGTTTTTTTTTTTTAAAAGTCAGCAGCTACAGTTTTTGTAGCTGCTGACTTTTATTTTTTGACAGGGTGAGTGGAACTCCGCTTTAATACTGTGCACTACAAAGCAGCATCGTGCACATATAATTAGGAAGTATGGCTGATTTGGCCTATTAAAAGGTACGCAAAGTCTTACAGTTCATTTTCTTTAGATAGCAGCCACAGCCTATATAGAAAAGCCTATCCCCTGCTGGCAGGCTGCAGAGAATAATCCTTGCTCCCTGTGTGGAATGAGTGGTCTCTCTGCAGAGGTCCAACATGCCTCTTGCTGAGTCAGAGCCAGCTCTCTCCTAACATTAAAGCCCATGCTCCCTGCCATTTGTAGAGCTATGACCAGGAGAGCCCTAGAGCTACAATCACGCTCTTTATACAATGAGCTTGTGATGTGTGTGGCCAGCCATGCTGTGTACCATGTAATTTAAACCAGTGCTGCCCAGCCTTGATGAGACCGGAGCCCGGTAAATTGTTCCAAAAAACGTTCATGCCCTAACAGTAAAAAAAAAGTTTTATACTAGCAAAATAAAAGCATGGGAATGCAAAAATATATATTGAAATGCTGGATGGGGCTGGCTGTCACTGTTGGGGGAAGAAGATTCTGAAGGTGGCCCTGTAGGGGATGAGGTTCTGAACGAAGATGTGGGCAACGCTGGGGGTTGGGGGTCTCTGGAGGGAGATAGTCTCTCCAGAAGTCTGGAGTCTTTGAAGGATGTGGGAGACTGGGGGGCACTGTGGGACACTGTTAGGAGCACTATGGAGAACTCAAGGCCAGGGCTGTGGATAAGGGGGTACCATCAGTCCTCCTGTATGGGGCCCCGGCCAGCAGGGGGGCCCAGGCAGCTGGGTGAATTAGATGTGGGCAGAGAGGGTGAATGGCACAGCATTTGGGGGGGGGGGGGATTACGAGAAATGATCCACTGTATGGCTCTTCCTGCAGCAGCTGAAACCTGGATTCTCCTCCTCTCCCTCCCAGCTGCTGCAGAGATAGCCATACAGGGAATCGGTTCCTCTAATTACCCCCCCACTGCATCCATCTCCCTCCCTGTGCACCATACGTTTCCCTCTACTGCCCAGGCCCCCCTGTGAGCTCCCACTCCTGCAGTGCTGTCGGCTTCCCTCCTCTGCTTCCCACACAATAGGATCCTTCAGGATGGAGAGTGGGGGAAGGGTCCAGTAAACATGGCACATTTACCAGCCCCTTTCTTTCCTGAATGAACACAATGAGTGATAGGTACCAATCATTCACTGTGTTCATTCATAACTGTAGCATTGTAAAAAAATAAAAATTTTGAGGGAGCCCCTGTCAGGTCAGCTGTATGGGTCCCGTGGTGGTTTCTAACGGCAGCCCTGCTCAAGGCTTTGCATATTGGGGGCACTGTGAGATGTGGTAGGGCACTGTAGGGATTGAGGGCTTTTAGGGGGCCAGGGGTCACTGAGAGGTTGAAGGGCACTGTGGGGCCACTAAGGGAGGTTGGGTAGCCCTACAGGATCTGGGGGATTAGAGGATCTGCAGCTAAAGGTCCTGGAGGTGGGAGGCCTTGTCCCGGTAGTTGGCCTATCCTTTTGGTTGAGAACCACTGATCTAAACCATTCAATCTGGTGACCTTTGTATATTTTATCTCTGACAGACCATTCAGAAGTCGAAGTAAAGTTGTATCACTGCCCAGAGTGCGATGAATGCTTCACCGACCCCTCTGACTTCTCCTTCCACCAGAAAGCACACAGTGGCAACCACCTCTTCTCCTGTGCCATCTGCCGGGTCTCATTCAAGTCCGAGTCAACATTCGTCAAGCACCAGCGCTGTCACTTGGAGAGGCCATCCAGTCCCTGTTTGGGGGAGCGGAGCTTCATGGTCAGGTCTACCATCGTCCGATACTCCGGAGAGAAACCGTTCCAGTGCTCAGAGTGCGGCCGTTGCTTTGCCCTGAAGTCCACACTGGTCAAACACCAGCGCGTACACACGGGAGAGAGGCCGTTCATGTGCCGCCAGTGCGGGCGCTCCTTCTCCCAGAGCTGCAACCTCCTGCGCCATCAGAGACGCTGCGCAGCCGCCAAAATGACTTTAGGTCTCAAGTAGCAGCTTCACTAGAAATGAAGATTCTGCTTTTCAGCCTACTCAGGGGATGCAGCCGAACTTTTCTTACTGAAAGGTAAATCATACGATGGGTTCTTAAATTCCACGGAGACTCCCGTTGTGAGATATAGGATGTCGGGCTCCCAGGTCTGCACACCAGCTGTCCAATGTGAGGGCTCCCACCATCCCTACTGGACTTTTAAAGTGGCACTCCAGCCAAAATCTTTGGATAGAGCGGGGAAGGATTAAATCCACTACCCATTTTTTTTTTTGTGTGTGCTTTGTATCGCCAATGGAGTGATTTACCCTCATTTCCTGTTACAGAGACACAACAGAGTGGAAATCTTTCACAAGAACAGGTGTCCCCACAGGAAAATGTCCCCTGTTACTTTTCCAATGACAACAGGAAGTGGGAAGAAATCCTTTCTTAGTTGTCATAAGTACAGGTGTCCCCTTAAAGAAAATTTTTCCCTCTATTTCTATTCTAGGGACAACAAGAAGTGAGTAGGAATCTCTCCTTAGTTGTCACAAGAACAGGTGTCCCCACATGAAAATGTCCTGTTTCTTTTCCAATGACAACAGGAAGTGGGAAGAAATCCTTTCTTAGTTGTCATAAGTACAGGTGTCCCCTTAAAAAAAATTATTCCCTCTATTTCTATTCTAGGGACAACAGAAAGTGAGTCACAAGAACAGGTGCCCCCTCTATTTCTTTTTCAATAACGAGAGGAACTGAGTAGAAATCAATCCTTAGGCACCACAGGATCAGTTGTTCCCTTCTGAAAATGTCCCCTCTTTTTTTTTTTCAGTTATTACTGAAAGTGAGTAGAAATCACTCCTTAGCTGTCACAATAACCGGTATCACCGTCATAAACTTTCCACTTGTTTTTTCCAGTGACAACAGGAAGTGAGCAGGAATCTCTCCTTAACTGTCATCCCTTAAGAAAAATTTGCTCTCAATTTATATTTCAGTGACAGCAAAAAAAGAGTAGGAATCTCTCCTCAGCATCACAAAAACAATTTGTCCCCATAGGAAAATTTCCCCTATATTTCTTTTTCAGTGACAACAGGAAGTGAGTAGAAATCTCTTCTAAGCTGGCATGAAAAAAAAAGTATCTTCCTTTGCTTTTCCACTAACAACAGGAAATGAGAAAAAAATCTCTCCTCAGCTGTCAGAAGAAAGCTGTTCCCATAAAAAAAAATGTATCTTCCTTTTCTTTTCCACTGACAACAGGAATTGAGTGGAAATCTCTCCTTAGCTGTCAGTAAAATAAGCGTTCCCATAGAAAAATGTTATCTCGATTTCTTTTCCAGTGACAACAGGAAGTGAGAACAAATCTCTCCTTAGCCGTCATAAGAACAGGTGTCCCCTTTAAGAAAAATTTGTTCTGTATTTATATTCCAGTGACAGCAGAAGAAGAGTAGGAATCTCTCCTCAGGAATCACAAACACAATTGTCCCTATAGGAAAATTTCCCCTATATTTCTTTTTCAGTGACAACAGGAAGTGAGTAGAAATCTCTTCTAAGCTGGCATGAGAACAGGCATTCCCATAGAAAAATGTTATCTCGATTTCTTTTCCAGTGACAACAAGAGAAGAAATCTCTCCTCAGCTGTCAGAAGAACAGGTGTTCCCATAAAAAAAAATGTATCCTCCTTTTCTTTTCCACTAACAACAAGAAATGAGAAGAAATCTCTCCTCAGCTGTCAGAAGAACAGCTGTTCCCATAAAAAAAAAAGTATCTTCCTTTTCTTTTCCACTGACAAAAGGAAGTGAGTGGAAATCTCTCCTTAGCTGTCACGAGAATAAGCTTTCCCATAGAAAAATGTTATCTCGATCTCACTTCCTGTTGTCATTGGAAAAGAAATCGAGATGACATTTTTCTATGGGAACGCTTATTCTCGTGACAGCTAAGGAGAGATTTCTTCTCACTCTGTTGTCACTGGAAAAGAAAAGAAATCTCTCCTTAGCCATCATAAGAACAGGTGTCCCCTTAAGAAAAATTTGCTCTGTATTTATATTTCAGTTACAGCAGAAGAAGATTAGGAATCTCTCCTCAGGCATCACAAACACAATTGTCCCCATAAGAAAATTTCCCCTATATTTTTTTTTTCAGTGACAACAGGACGTGAGTAGAACTCTCCTCTAAGCTGTCATAAGAACAGGTGTACCCATTGAAAAATGTCCCTTTTTTATTTCTTTTCTAGTGACAACAGTAATAGTTTATATTTTCTTTTTGCTTTCTGTTATCATGACAAATAGAAAGTGAATCTCTCTGCAGCGAGGTCAAAGGCAGCAATAGAAATCTGGCAGAGACTCTAACTCTTTCACAGTCCATCCAAAGAAAATGGACTGGAGTGCTTTTGAAGTGATTCTAAAGGTTTTTTTTTTTTTTTTTTTTAAATAACAAACACATTATACTTACCTGCTCTGTGCACTGGTTTTGCACAGAGCAGCCCTGATCCTCTTCTTTTTGGGTCCCCCGCCGGCAGTCCTGGCTCCTTCTCCCTGTCGAGTGCCCCCAATAGTAAGGCTCTTGCTATGGGGCACTTAAGCAGGCTCGCTCCTGAACCATGCTTCTGTGAATGGACATTGTCCAGTCACACACAGAGTGCGACTTGGCCCCTTTCTTCTCGTTGGCTCACTGATTGACAGCAGCAGGAGCCAGTGGCTCCCGCTGCTGTGTGAGCCAATGAGGGAAGAGAGACATGGGAGAGCCGATGTTCTCATGCACATTGCTGGATCGAGAATGGGCTCAGGTAGGTACAGGGGGTGCTGGGGAGGAAGCTGCACACAGGTTGTTTTACCATAATGCATTGAGGTAAAAAAAACCTTCTGCCTTTAGAACCACTTTAATATCCAGTAAGGAGATTTCAAGAGGAAAAGTTGGGCAAATGCAAGAAGTGGTGGAGGGGAGAGAGGGGATGAGACTGTGGCAGAGGGATCTTGCTGCTGGAATCCTCAAAACAGCATAATAAGACTTCCAGGGACGTAACCCATTATGTTCCACCTATAACTTAAACATTGTTCTCAGGTAGACTGGCTGTTCTATATTATGTTCTGGAAGGACTGCTTCACTTTCATTTTAATAGAACAGAATGTTTCCTATAAAGGAATTTTCCTTAGTCTCCAGTGAGCAGAAACTATATCCAGAACTGAGCTGAGATTACTGGTTTTTACTATTCACCATGGGAGGACTGACAACTCATGGGGCCCCTGGGCAATTGGGGATCATGGGGCCCCTGTGTCCTTGACCACACTCAAAGCACACCCAAAAAAGCCTATAAAAGGTACCAGGAGCATTTCATGGGGCCCCCTACTGACCCTGGGCCCTCAGGTAGTGCCCGAGTGCTCTAATGGTCAGTCCGCCCCTGCTATTCACCATACAAATGACTGGAAGTCTAAACTGTTGCTGAGTTCTGGGGTGCTCCCCTAATCTCGTTCTGTGGACTGTATAAGATCTTGTTATGTATAGGTCACCCTATTTACCTCCATTTACAAATGTTCTTTGAATCCTTGTATCATCCACACAGAACTGGTTGATCTGAGGCATTAGTACAACAATGTCACTTTTAAAGTAGACCTGTCACACTAAATTTAAGTGTTCACCAAGGCCTCGTTCACACCATCCATGCAGAAAAACTGATGGAAACTGATGTGCAGATTTCACTTGCAGAGACGTCAGTTTACATCAGTTTCATGCGCACTTCAATGAGTTTTGTACACGTTTCTGATTCCTGCGCAGAAAATGCACGTGATACTAGTGTTGTGATGTGAACAGGGCACATAGAAAACAATTAATTGCATTGTGCCCTTGCAGAACACGTGCAGAAAAACTGACGTCTCTGCTAGTGCTGCACTGAAATGAAAACTGGTGCCGAAAACGAAAATTCAAAATCCACTTGGCCAAACACTGGAAACCGAAATGTGCAGTTTTTAAAAATGAATATATATTTTTGGGGCAAAAAATACACTTTGATTAAAAAAAAAAACAAAATAAAACAATATACACCATAATTTTTTTTTGTAAAATATGAAAGATGTTACGGCGAGTACATAGATACCCAACATGCCATGCTTTAAAATTGCACATGCTCGTGGAATGGCGTGAAACTGGTACTTAAAAATCTCCATGGATGATGCTTTAAAAATTTCTGCAGGTTAGCAGTATAAAGTTACAGAGGAGTTCTAGTGTGAGAATTATTGCTCTTGCTCTGACATTCGTGGGGATACCGCACGTGTGCGGTTTGAACACCATTTACATATGTGGGCATGGCATATTTATGCATTCACCACTACGTGCAGGGACGGGGGCACTTTAAACTTTTTTTTTTAACATTTAAATTTTTTTTTTTTTGCACTGTCCCTTTAAAAAAATGTTTTAATCAATTTCTATTATCACAAGAAATGCTTGCATCCCTTGTGATAGAAATAATTAGTGACAGGTCCTCTTTGTGGAGATATATGGGGTCAATAAGACCCCACATCTCTCCTCTGCAATGTAAAGCATTGGATCAAAAAACATTGATCTAGTGCTTTGAAAAAAAAAATGGCCGGAACCGGAAGTGACATCGTTCCGGTCCTCCAAGGGCAAAGAGATGAGTGGATGCCATCTTTCCTTCACTCATCTCTATGCCCAGCGCCGAGATAGTTCGATGGTTTCCCAGGTAAGTGGAGGCCATCTTTCCTTCACTCATCTCTATGCCCAGTGCCGAGATCGTTCATTGGTTTCCCAGGTAAGTGGAGGCCATCTTTCCTTCACTCATTTCTATGCCCAGCGCCGAGATCGTTCAATGGTTTCCCAGGTAAGTGGAGGCCATCTTTCCTTCACTCATCTCTATGCCCAGCGCTGGGATC